GGGGGGAGGGCTGTTATGTAAATATTCAAAATAGGTACTATTTTTGCAACACTGCCATGTTTTGGTTTTACTTTAAGTCTAGTTTTTTTAGTTACTACAAAAATGTTACTATGGGTTAACAAATAGCACATTATGGATCCTTATTCGATAAATTTATTTTCCTTACCTTAACACGTTATATTTACATATATTTACACATCATTGCAAGTGTGAAATGTCTGGCACAAATCCGAACACAAATCGAAACAGATACAAACAAAAAGGGGGATAAACCGGTTTTGAGGTATTTTTTCCAAACACGGAAAGGGATGCACTCTTTCCATACTTATGAACTTATACATTAATGCGGACAATATATTTATAATATAATGGCTAGTGGTATGGCGTATTGTGACTAGTTCAGACAGCTGTCTTCAAAATATCACATCACTTTTGAGGCGAGGCGCAAAGTACTAATATTTATTACATGCCTTACCTACTTTACTTGGCACATAACGCCATGTCAACGGAACTAGTACATAATATACTCCCTCATTTGCGCTACTATCATACCCCTCAACTACGCCAAAATTACATCTACCATTATTCAGATTACATACAAAAAATATGGCACTGTAGAAATATATTTTTTGTTGTGATACGCAGTTGAATAACAACTAGCATTGTGCTGTTACTTTTGTTAGAAAAATGTAAACATTCATTTTTTTCATTCAAAGCTAGAAAAAGTGTTGAGAAGTATCACATTTGATTTGTCTCTAAGCTCAGGGGTGAGCTAGTTTATACCTGCACAGCGAGCTAAAGCTATCACAAAATTCTCCAAACTGCTGATTAAAGGAAGGAGTTATTACTCTTTCAATACTGAGTATTCTCGTGAGTGTAGGCTTTATTGTATTCTATCCGCACATCCGAAAACGAGCCTCGCATCATAAATTAATTAGTACAAAAAGGAATCTTGGAAACGTGAACACATAAGTCGTCACCTCACTCAATGCCTCGGCGAGAAATCATTTCGATGACTGCCTCACTGAACAGCAGGATTCATCTATTACTAAAATATATCACAGCCCTTTAAGTCGAGTATGTGTCGAGTCGCCCGCGGCGACTGTCTCTGCGCACGGGTGTGAGTGTTAGCTCCGAGGCTCCCGCCGGTCCCCCAGCAGCAGAGCGTGGAGCTGTTGCCACCCCCGCGCCCGCGCCCCGCGCGCGTGCTGCGAGAGGGTGGCCGTCGTTCTTTCCTCTCTTCCTCTCAGCCGGGTCGACGCCTCAGGCAGCCACCTCGATGAAGGAGGAGCCGATGCTGCCGTAGCCGCTGCCCGCCTTGTTCCGCGTGACCCCGGGGAAGGGGCTCCGGTTCCGGTCCTGGCTCAGGTTGGCGATGAGGTTGCCGCCACTGGACTCTTCCAGGCGGAGCAGGCTCGCCTGCATGCTGAGTTCCAGGGTCTTGGTCTTGAGTTTCCGCGGCGGCGGTCTTCGCTCGCAGCAGAGGAAGAGCGCGGTGCCGAAAACCTGTGGGGCGGGCGAACGTTAGCGTTGGGAGAGACTTGGGTCGTTCTTCTGCATTTGCTTTATGGGACACGTGTTGTACTTACGACGAGCAAGTGCACCGCTATGATGAAGTAGGTCGACTGCCTGAAACCCACTGTGTCGAAGAGAACTCCAGCCACGGAGGGCCCGACAAAGGCGCCGAGCGCGAAGGACGACGCCCACAGCCCGGACACCACCCCGTACGTGGTCAGGTCGTCTGGGAAGCCGGCCACCCTGGAGAAGACAATCACGCGCATGAGTACCGTAGAGGTAGATGTGAGTCGAGTACCGAGGGGCCGGCGGGCAGGCACGGCGAGACACCGCGCGCGGGCAGAGCCATAGGCAGCAGCGCCCCCCGCCGCGCGGGGTCTCTCCCCGGGGGAAGTCCAAGTCGGCGAAGTATACTCACACTGCAGAGCTGATCGCGTCCGAGAACGTGGGCACCATGAGGCAGGACAGGCCGAACCCGTGGATGATGAGCCCGACCACGCACATCCAGAGCGACCTGCGGAAAGCGACTCAAGTCAGCAAACACTCTTCACTCCTAACGAGTTCAATTTTACAGAAGGGAACTGTCTAGACAGTCCCCAAGACTGTCTCTACCAGAAGGCAAAGTCTGCCTTCCCTCTCCCCTCCTCCCCTCGCTATCTACAGCGCAGAGCGGGCGCCAGGCGAGTGTTATTACTTTTTTTAAGTTGACATTTTTTCCTACAAAGTTTTATTTATGTCCGTTTTTTTTTTTCTGAAAGTATTTCTATTTTTTCCATATTTTTTTTTTCAAGTTTTGGTAAGTTTTGATACTTACGTCTCCACAGGCAGGAAGTCGGCCGGGCCGACCAGGGAGACGCCGATGATGACGAACACGCCGCCGAACAGCACCACCCGCTTAGCGTAGCAGCAGCGGTCGATGAGCCTGCCCACCAGCGGCGCGAACATGGCGTAGACGCCGCCGCTGATGATGAACATGACGCCGACCAGGGCGGGGGACAGGTCGAACTGGCGGAGGTGGGGCTCGAGCGTGGCCGAGTAGAAGCCCATGCTGACCGCCGTCGCTGTGGTGACGAGCGAGTCCAGCAGCACGCCGGGCACCGCCAGCATCTTGAGCAAGCTCGCTGAGCACACACAAAGGGGGGTTGTCATTCATAGCAGTCTGTTTCCCATTGCTACTGTTGCGTTGTCCCCTTGCCAAGTCAACAAAGTATACCAGGTGCACTGAGAAAAATGTTTGGTCACCACGGCCGAAAAAATTTGGTTGCTGTCACTAAAATGGTGTTCTATCTGCCCCCTTAGTCATAACCATAGAACGTTCTATGGTGCTGGCTGAGTGTTCAGACGCTACAACCAAACACTCCAGCCAGCACCATAGAACGTTCTATGGTTATGACTAAGGGGGCCGATAGAACACCATTTTAGTGACAGCAACCAAAGTATTTTTCTCCGTGTGGCTGACTAACCCCCCCGCACTTCTGTAGTTATGCAGTACCGCATTCCTACGTGCGGGCGGGTTGCCTACTCGCTCGGCCCGTATGGCGCCGTGAACAGGGGCGATAGGCAAGCCCGCCCGCGCTCATGCGTGCGGACAGTATAACTACAGAAGTGCTCGGGTCTGTTCAGCCACCAGGTATATGACAGGCCATGTCAGGAGTCACTGACCAATATAAGCGCCCAGTAACCCACCCCAAAAAGCAGGTTTTTAAATCAGGTGCATTCACTTGAATAATTTGAGTGCATGCACTTGTTTCGAGAGAACTCACTTGACTCAAGAACCTTGTTTTTTTGGGATGCCGATCGGGCCCAGATGATACGAACGCGTTCGCACGAAGCACGTAAGTTATAGCATCACGGTGAGCTTGACCTGGCCGTTATCAAACTCAGTAATGAATGAATGGAGTAGAGTTATACCTTGGGGTTTCTTCTGAGCTTCGCTAGCAGGAAGCACGAAGCAGGTGACGACGCCCACCACGACGAGCATGCTGCCCATGACGATGAAGGGCAGGACGTAGCCTCCGGCCTGGAAGAGCAGCCCGCCGATCGTGGGTCCGACGATGTAACCCACGCCGTAGAAGGTCTCCAGGGTCGCCTGCAAAACAGACAGGTAAATGTTTTTGTTGTTGTTGTTGTTATCGTCTTGTCCTCGTCGAGTCGGTGTGAAAAAAAAAATGAACAGGTTGACGTACAAATGTGGTGCCCACGGAGTCAGGGAATTCGGACGCGATGATGGCGAAGGCGGCTGTGAGTGCGGCCGAGGCACCCAGGGCCTCCACTATCCGGACGGCGAAGGACAGGCCGATAAACTCGGTGTGTTCTATCACCAGATCCAGCAACCTGCAAAGCGCACCAGGATGGTTAAGATTAAGAAGAACAAAAAGAAGAAGAGGAAGAGCAATGACATCAACTTACCCGAAGAGCATGCATGATACGGCTGCAACGAATATTCCACTTGTCAATGTAAACTTGGCTCCAATCGTGTCCAGCTGGGGAGGAAATGTCTTATTAGTCCATTGATTTTGTTTTTCTTAAACTTTTTAATGTGTTGTGAGCTAGACAGGCAGCAAAAACTATTTGCTCATAAAAAGTTGGGCCCCACTCCCGAGCACATAGAGGGGTGTTTGCATCGTATCCCTAAACGCTTATCGCACACACGAGACGTGTTTCCCTCTCTTGGCACTCACATATTTCCCGAAGAGAGGACTGCTTAGGAACGACACGAGTTCAAAGATGCCGAACACTAGACCGTACTCCGTCGCTGTAGATCCTTTCGACTCGGCCTTTTAAACAAATAAGATTTGAAAATAAAATTTCTGTTGTCATTTATTTCACAAAAAAGCATTTTTGCGCCACGCAGGCGCACGTCCTTGCACCGGAAACGCAACTGTGCGAATGTCGTACAGTTGTTGGTGGATGAATGCCTCGTATACACTAAGTGGAGTAAATGTGAGAATTTTTCTTTGAAATTCAACACACTTGCCTCCACGTGTGTAGGTACAGATGTCATTCACACGCCTACAAGTGTGCGGCATTCGCGCACTTGGGCTTTCGGTGTGCCCTCGCAATAGAATGACTCACCTCCTGCGGGTAGAAAGGCGCCTGCAGTGAGATGCACACGGCCCCGGCGAAGTTGACGGTCCCTATCAGCATGACGGTGCTCCATTGCCGGCGCGTGTAGCGCTGCTTGATCCGCGCCGCCTGGAACAACAGAGCGAGGGTGAATACCGCTGCGGAAGATGACAGGCGAGCCCTTGAACAAAACCCCCTGGTGCGTACGGGAAAATCTTCTACTGTCTGCCCGTAAGTGGGGGCAAAACAAAAACAGCCCCCCCCCCCTCTTTCCCGGCTTTTATCGAAGGGCGAGTGGCGAAATGTGCGGTACGAAAACCAAAACCCTACCTCATCGCCGATTAACATGACTGACAGTGGCCCACAAACCACATCCGCGGAAAAATTCGAGAGCACAAACAATTGCGGCGGCCGCGTGGGGCTGCAATGCGTAACTGAACACCCCGACCGCCTCGAGGGGGCATCGGCCGGGCCTCGGTGACCGCCTGCCCCCTCCCACCTCTTTCCCGCCTCATTGCAAGACTCACAAAAAAAATTGGCCAGTCCCGCGTCATCGACAATCTTCCCGCTTTTACACTGGGATTTCCTGAAAGAGGGAGTGTTTGTGTGTACGCGGGGCGTCTGCCCTCCACAGTACGTGAGTTTTACTCAAATCTCATTGGCAAGACAGACGGAAATACTCTCATAGACCGGCACCTCTTTGACCATTTTTGACACCTCTGTTCTTTTTTTGGCGGCGTCTAAACCGATATCGGCCAGTCGATATGGGCGCTGTACAGAGAGCATAAGGCGGCCAAAGGGAGAAAAAGGTCTGCGCTCCGCGTCGCCTCGCAACCAGCTGCGCTCCGACACCCAACGCTACCCGCGCGGGAATTTCGGGACCGCGAAAATGCTTCCGGCCTTGCCAGATTGTCATGCTTGATACTGAGGCGTCTGGCCCTGCATGTGCTTTCTGATAACCGTTCATAGCTCCTGGTTTCACTTATCACTAGCGTGGAGCATTTTTCACCCGGACCTTTCACCTTTCACCTCGCGTCCCTCCAATCCCCGGTAACAGCGCGCGCGCGACCGCCCTGGCGCCGGGTCAGGTTGTCTCGCATAGTGCGACGGTTAAAAACAGGTGGAAAAAAAAATAATAACGATGTTTTCACATAAGGAAAACCGTGACAAAAGACGTACAGTCTGTGAAAAGCGAAATCCATGAAGAAGTACACTAACCTCGTCCATGGTGAAGACCAAAAAGTTGAAGATCAAAAATTGGAATCGACCGGAGTCGCGGAATGGGCCGATACCAACTGCGACCAGACGCGGTGCCGACACCGCCTCTGACTGACACGCCACAACGCGACTGACAACCACAACACCACGCCCGTCGCACACACGTCTGTTTGCTGTGGGGTCCGCGAGAAGAGGCTCCCTCCCGTCTAGTCTGGAGCTGGCCGCCCCGAGTGTCGCGCCCTGCCTGACTAGGAAACTGACCACCTTTGACCGGAGCGTGAAGATAGTCTTGCTCTCCCCGCCAAACCCCGCCCCGGCAACAGCCCCACCCCG